CAGTCCATCGAATACGTCTGTGGGTAATCATTCGCAGACTTTGAACACGTTTCTTCTTTCTTGGTATCCGAATGGATTTACACTGCCATCCACATTACCTAATTTGTGGCTACCGGACTGTGATCTCACGGTGGCTGGTGGGAATGGTTCCACGGTCCAATTCGTTACACACAGCTGGCTACCTCCTGACTCTCAATTCACATCACCTCGGCGATCAGACACTTTTGGTCCTTATTGTCGGTTCGAGTCCCATCAGGCAACGAAATTAGCTTGGGCCAAATTGCAGACTGCCGTGCCGTTACTGCACCAACTCATCAGTCATATGCGCCTGTCTCAGTCCGAATATGATGAGTTATTGAGCTCGGTGAGTTGTTTCCATCATATTGGCGTGGTCTAGCTCTCCTCGTGTGATTTTCCTCTGGTCTAGGTCCAACCTTTTCAACCTTCTCACATTTCATCTGTGACTGAACCCATGCTCTGCATCTTCACTTAGGTTATCCGAAAAAGTAGTGGTTTGTGAGGACTTCGACGGTGTGTTTATGTTTTTTAATAAATTCATCTATTACCTATTTGATCATACTTCTGTTGTGTTCTGTGTGTGTGTGTGTGTGCGTGTGCGCGGTCTATCGAAAATTGGTCACTCCTCAGGTTGACTTGATGCGCTGAAAATGTGTTGGATATCGGTTTCCAGCGCAATTGGCTAAGGATCTGACTCAAGAAAAAACACCTGTTTGTAGCTCCTTACGTTTATCCTTGTGATCCGTAAACTGAGGCAGTTCAGGCCATTATCCGATTCCCTCCTGTTCTGTCCCACTAGGTTATGCCCAAGCCGTATGAGAGCCTGTTGGTTTATTCGTTATGCGTTTTCCATCATGAGCTGTTTTTTGCGTTTACCTTCAATCCAGTTGCTTAGATTCATGAGGCCCAATTCGTATCTTCTCTTCGCTGACGTTTTCTCTGACTCGGATGGTTATCTTTTGATTTTCCGGGGCGTCCATAAACGTATCACTTGTATTTGCTCTCGTATTCTCCTGAAGATCTCGTCTGAAATTCCTCATTTCTCCAGTTAATACTTTTTTTAACAATACGAATATAAGTGTGAAATGATTTCAATCGACTTTTGTGTTTGTTAATATCGTTCTGCTTATAGCTTTTGCTGATTCCTCACCTTTACAATTTGATGGGAAAAATTGTCTCCCTCATTCAATAAGTACAAAAAGCGTGACGATCGTGCCCTGGGGGCTCAAATCTGTCAGTTTACGTCTCTCTCGGAGTATCATACACCTACACACAAGCGATTCAGTAACCAAATCACCTCTTAGTTTAGGTACGGGACTTGCGTGTGAGTTAAGCAGTGGGAAAATGTATCTCACGGGTATTTTGACAGGCTTTGACTCTGTTGTCAGTGCTTCAGGAGACAAGTGTGAATAGTGAAAGTGCGAGATCCTCCGATGCAGAATCTTCCGATGAATCCTGGAAAACGTTACCATAAAACCGGATTCCTTGGCTGAGTTCTATCTTTTGATTCATCAAATGTCACGCGCGTTGTTGTATGCCTGTCTAATCGCTTACGTCATGCACTCAGTTTGGTCGGTTTGGTAGTTTGTTAACTAAATCTCACTTCGTTGGTAATCCCGTTCTATTCTAACTATCGAATTTCATGCAAGCGCTCCCTCTGTCTATCAATTATTGAACTGCAAGAAAGCTGATATATTCTGTTGTAAAACACTCAGAGGCATTGGCTTGGTTAGCAGCTTCACAAAGCTTTTCATTGGCGTCTTTCTCTCGATTGTCTAACGCACGTTAGCTATGTAAATTTATTCTCTCAAATTTGCATCGACCGTATTTTCACTGCTCACTAAATTGTGGTATGGAGACATTCTCTTGGTAGAGAATTTCCATCACCGTCGATCTAAAGCTGGCTTTGACTTAGTCGGTCGTGCATCCTCCCCACAGTGACTCTTTCGATGGTGTGCCAGAGAAGTTCCATTTCACAGTTACTATCCTTTCGTACTAATAACCCCCTAGTGTAACTCGAGTTTACAGCTTTTTTTCATCTAAGTTCACCCCTCAAAATGTTTTTTGTTAGGACTGCTCTCGTGTTTTCTCGTTAACCTCATACTAAATGTGATTCTAGAAACCGTTCTGTTCAGGCAACCTACTCACTCTTCTGGCTGGTTCGACTGTTGATGTATTCTGTGCGGGTAACATCTGCAAGCCCTGAATAGCTGTTATAGGATTCGGCAGGTTCATCTGCCATCTTCATTCAAACTGAAGCACTATTAATGAAAATGGAGGAATTTAGTTATTCAGTTTGCTACACATCGAAGCACATGCGGAATGCTGGGTCAGCGTTTGGTAGCTTGGTGTACCCATGGCACCGCAGCGACATTCAGTTGTTCATATAAAGTCTAGTGGACGCTACGCTCGTCAATGACACTAGTCATACTCAAACCGAACATCGATGATTTTCAAACATCCTCGATGATGCGGATGGTTTACGGGTTTGTTGCATACTGTTATCCTCCCTGCGCATCGTGGGAACCCTCAGTAACGTGAATTGCGTTAGTCGTACATGTCACACGAGTCCCACAGCTGCTGGTGTCGGATACGGTCGGTACTTGCTTCATTGATTTTTCACTAAGTTCGATTAAATTTGCACTATGTTCGATTCAAACCAGAATTGAGCGATAGAGAAACGCTCTGAAAGTGTACAACTATCTCCATGGAACGATGCAAGCAACGTGGTGAAGTCGTGGCAACAACAGATCTTATTCAAATCGATATTCCATCATATCCACCTGATCAAATCAATGACAGCTTGGTTGGACATTGCTGAGTGCCGCTGAAAACTACTGATAATTGCTCGAGGCGAAGTAGAATTTAGGAGCATCTCTTTAAAAAAATCTGTCAACTGCATTCTGTCGAAATAACGGAACCCATGGACAAGTTCCGGATTTTCTCGTGCTCTTTTTGCGTTCTTATTGGTCGCCCGCGAATCTTATCTTGCTAGTTTTGTAAAAATGTCTTAAAATATATCCAATCTATTCAGTGCCAGAAAGTTCACGTTGATTTCCCTGAAATCGCATGCTATTCCCTAGTTTGAAAGTCTCTGAAAGGAAGTAAAATTGACCTGTTTATTACGTACATTGGGCACCGTTTTTACGTAAGCTCGATTGGCATTGGATAGGTTAGAATGCTACAAGAAAAATGGCAATCTATGGACATTACTTAATTATGCTGGATCAAGTGAACAATGCTTGGTTGTTGGGTCATTGCCAATGTCATCTGGAGTTGGGCGAACGAATAGGGGACACGTGACAATCAAATAAGCCAGAAAAGATTATTGTACCGTGATTTGCTTGGCGCACAGTCTGAACGCAGACCTGTGTGAAATACACAAATACATAACCCAGAAAGAAAGTGAACATGGAAATGGTTACTTAATTAACAGAGATAAACTGGGAACGATGGAAAGTTTAAGGTACTCGCGGAATACTAAATCAAAGGTAGTTCATGCAGGTAAATTGAGAACTAATTACAGTGTACGTAGAGGGCTTATACACTAGGAAATTGATATATATATATTGATATATATATATATGGCCGTTTGAGCTGTTTATCTACGGTTACACTCCATGGTATTATCTTTGTGGTGTGGTGATAATTTCGGATTTCGTTGTGTTTGCCATGGAGTCTTGATCGGGAAAATCCTAAGTGTCTTCTTGAGTGGTTGTTAACGGAAGGTTGAATCTTGTGTGATGTGGTCGAATTGCTGCTAACCTGGCTGTCTCTAGCATTTCAATCTAGTTCCGGATATCGCTCGTTTTCATTCCCACCCCAAACAATCAGGACTTCCTGTCACATGTCGCATGTTTTCATTTTGTAATCTTCATATCAACCTCACGAACAAAGTTGACAATGAATTTGATAATTGCTTTTCACCAATTTATTTCAACGAGTTCAAATGTTTCATCGTCATCATCATCGCTCAGCGAGGTACAGTGAAGTGAACTTCATTGATCGCTGCCAAGCTCTCAATGTTCTTTGTTAATCCACCTTAGTGTGATGAACGGTAGATGGGGTAAACCCCATAGTCACGAGGACGTGCTGTTTCATGATGGAAACCAGCAATCTGAGCCCGGGGGCCTAGAGTGGCGAACTACATCAGTCCCGCTAGGCTAGGCGTGGTATTGAACAGGACGACAGCAAGTGTACACAAAGTGATAAAGTACAACATGGAGAGGAGGGCGGAGCAGCTGAACTTCTATGGTTACCGCACAGAGTACACAATCTAGCTGTGCATACATACTTTTTCAAGCATTCTGCCCTGATAAGAAATAACAAGAACGCCTCTACTGTCGAGTCACTGGCATATCCTTCAGTGTTTCCAACCAGCCTATTGCAGTCTTTTGGACCCCATCCTTTGTCTCAGCTTTATCCTAAACCACATCTGATCTACGAAGGAAATACCTCGAGGACAGACCCGGCACACTCAGGTGGCTTATAATACTAGGATCCTGAATTCGTCTCCGACACTCATTAGACATCAAGTTGTAGACTTAATTGTGCACGCAAGACACGCCTGTTGACCCACCTGCATCAGAGTCCTCACTTAGAAGGCTCCCAGATTGAGAGGCTGACGGGGCTTCATGGTCTCTACTTTATGTACAGGCAAACTATTTACAGTGCTATTTGGCAACGAACTTTGGCTAATGACGACCAAGTTGGCTGACGGGATGTTACGGATCGGAAGAGGGGGCGTTGGGTATAGAAGACAGAGTTGAACAGGCTGAAATGTCTGATCAATAGCCCATTTATCACTATCCACCCCATTCGATGCCAGAGGCAGCACAGTATTGGTTATTCTGCGTGACGACCGACGCATTATGAAATTATTTTTCATTTGTATTCATTGGAGCTTTATGGATGGGTACTGCTAGAGAGTCCAAACACTAAGCAGGAGAACGCTAAGGGTTCTCAACCAATGCCTTTAGTTCTGACGAGAACATAACCGCAAGGCAACGGTTAAGGCAGAATATTGGCCCATTAACTTGGATCAATTACTCCCACCATTTTTTATCGACTGAGACGCTAACTCATGTCGATATTGAATTTGAACTTGCCCCGCCTCCAGACTTGATTATTCGGGTTTGATTGTAGCGGGTTGATACCCGAGTCAATAATGGTAGTAGTACAACAGGGGAAGCGACTACATGTCTATACGCCTAACCGAACCCTGATGGGCATCGACTTGACGTTTCAGTTTGCGGATAGCATGTACTGTACCTAAGTGCAATCGGTTTTTTTTATCACGGTCGCCAGATCTGCGTGAGCGAGAGCACCTTTCGATTGCACGTTTTCGACCGTCACTGTGGGGTTTGGTGCGGTATAGTTGAGCTTGAACGAATAGGTTAGAAACTCCGAAGTGACTCGTGTTGTATTCGGGATTGCCATATGTAATTCACCTATGTATAGCATACAGCATATTNGCATATTCCCAACAGCCGTCTGCCGCTCCGCACCTTGTTCACATTAACCATGTCGGGGCGAACAAAATCATGTGAAGGCTAGTTAAAAAGGGCAGATAAATCACAGGTTTCTCGTCTTCTGAACTGAGCCGAGAGACTAATCGACTAATCGAGAGTATAACTGCCAACCGACGATAATCATCTCTTATCACGTCGGATTAGTTGAAATGGTATTTACCTACAGGGTGTTTGAGATGATTTAACCTCTTTTCTCCCACTCCTCGAGCTTTACCACACACCCCTCCCATTCACCATCCACACTTGTAGTCACTTTGCACTGTGAATCACGAGCAATCAGCGAAGTGCGCTTCGCAGCACGCGTCATGACGATGAGCACGAACGCACGAACTTGAAAATGGCTTTATCGGCTTGAAAATCACAGTTCACAGATCGAATAATACAGGGGAAACCAATTATCTAAGTTTTTAATGTGTAGGTACACCGCCAGAGTTACTCGTTTGACCCCGGTCGTTCAGTGTTCCGAATCGCAGAATATGGTCTCATGATGAATCCATTCTGTTCGTTTCATCATATGCATTATACTTCAAAGCGCTTTTACACAGTTCTTTGGATCACGGTGATCTGTGACCACATCGAATATTGCCCTCACATTGTGATTCTCTTTCCATATTTAACCGGTGTTTTTTTCGTGAATGTTCCTGAGTAATTCATTCTAGGAAATTGCATGTCATACTCAGACCTTTGTTTTCCCAGTTCAGTTCAGTTCGTAAAGCCATTAGCCATGCACTTTCGTGCGCCGGTTTTGGTTGCTATTTGGATAAAACGACAGAATAAAGATTGGAATATTGAGAGAAAATCCAAGCGAAAGATCGCGAATTTACATGGACTGAAGTTACAAGAATAACGAATAAATGCATGAGCGCCACTGTTTGCAACATCCAGCCATATCGCTCAGTGTCTCTACCCATCGGCGACCATGATCCTGGGGTCCCCAGCTAGCATGATAAAGTAATCTGCCTTCCCCCCTCGCACTAGGCTTATCGGTTCAGTAATATAAAGCTGACGGAATCCAATTTGGTCGTGGCTGCTTTTTTGCATTTCTTTCTCTTAGTTACTCGACTAGAACAAAACAACGTGCTAAACATGGTTGGGTTGTCGACCTCGGTGTTGAAAAGGTATATGCTCACGTGTGGTTAACTATCCGTCTCACCAAAACAACCACATGCAACCCCGTCACCCGGTCAAGTAATCTCTGTCACTGACGAACTCGCTCATTCACTCGACAAAATCAATTCGATCGTTGTACGCTAATCGGTCTAACTTGGTTGGTGCATGCTTAAACTGTGGTTGAATACGAAATTCGCATCGTTGACACCCCCGGTAAGGCATCTTTTATACCTAGTTTG